GTTGCCGAGATAGGTCGATCTTCCACTCTGCCATCGATATACTCTGTAAGATTCCTTTCAGTGATCGGACTTCTACCACATTGTTGTAGATCGCCACTTTTTTCAGCACACCTACCACACAAGGTCTGAAATCTACCACATATTCGCGTTTTTGAGTAGTTTTATTTTTGCTCAACTATAATTTTCTTAATTTTAAGAGCAAAAATTGTCCAACACTAAACACTAACAAAGGCAGAATGGGAGGATAAAATAAACTGTAAAATAGTAAATTTTCTCAATATTCAATTCTTACGACATCAAACATGGTTTTATTGTGTTAAATTGCAAAATATATGATTTATAAAAGGAATTAATAGCGAAAATGATAAAAACCGACGATGTTTGTGAAGCATTAGCAAATTTCAGTGCATCTCAAATTTCTAAAGCGTTGTTTACTTTTACTTGAGAATTGTCAAAATCGGCAAATCACAAGTAGCATTTCTGGAACGAGCCACGATTTGTTCGCTACATCGTGATGTGATAAAAGAAAAGCTCAAGCAGGTTGCAGATCAAAATAGTGAAACTGTCAAGGAAAAATTGCCAAAGACCAACGCAATTTTTATCAACTTCAATCTAGCACTTTATTATACTAAAATTAATTTTGTTTTAGATTCTGATTAAAATGTTTGCAATTTAGGAGAAACCTTGCAGATTTTTATTAATTTTTGTACAAAGTTTGATCCAAAACCTGAGATCTACCACATTTTTTTGAAATCTATCAAATTTTTTTAGATTGTACCACACAAATTTTTTTTAAGTCCGATCACTGATTCCTTTGCCATTTCTTAAGATAAATCATCAATTTAAACATTGTTGTAAGCAGCGATATGTCTTATCTTGAATCACATACACATATACGTATTTTTCACCGGGTAAACAGAAATAAAGTTACGAGCAAGTATACCTGTGCGTCACCCTTTGAAAAACGCGGTTTTTGACCTTAAGCCCAGATTTTGAGGGTGTATTTAAAATTTTGAGTATGCAGATTTTACTGCTTAGATAGACCTACAACAAGTATGAACCTCGAAAAAATCTATATACATTTTTTTTTGTCACATAGTGTAATTTAGATCGTCTTTAATAATCTGTATATCGTCGTTTAAAGTACAAAACCGCGTATCAACAAAATGCAAAGCCGCCTATGTGAGGTTGCATAAATTATTATCTAGATAGTAAAAACGGTTATCTTTTTTATAAAGCAATCGCATGTATATTTCAGGACGAATGGATAAGGATTGAGCCAACAGCTTCTGTAAGCAAATTCAATTTTTGGCAGCAAATGTCAGTTACGCGATTTTGCAGAATGACGGTACGCGGGGTTGTACTTTATACGACGATATGCATGNCCAAAATTGGAAAATACAAGGGTTCACAAGCACGAAATGGCAATACCGCTCAACAATATTTGTATATTTGTCACTGGCATTTGTCATCAAGTGGCAAATCAGATATTTGGTCATTTGCGTAATTTTTATTTGGCTTATGTAGCAGCATTGCGTTCACACGATTTGGCCACCAGGGTTGTTTTTCATTTGCCACAAGAAGGCAAATATTTGGCTTTTCTCATAAACGACAAATGTAATTTAGCGTTCACATGATTTGTCTACGAATTTGACAAATTTTTAGCCTAATGTACAAATCGTGTGATTCCAGCTTAAGTGTGTGTGTTTTGATTTTTACTTTGCACGTTTTTTAATAACATTAACTTTTTATGCTTCTCATTAACAGGCGCTCATGTAAATCCGGCTGTGACTTTGGCAGCATGTATCATACGCGCCATATCCCCAGTTCGTGCTGCTATGTACATAACGGCTCAATGTGGTGGCGGCATCGCTGGAGCTGCTTTACTGTATGGGTAAGTTGAGCATGTTTTCAAAAAAATAAACAAGAGCAAGAGGATCATGAAAATAGGACTAGCAGTTGAAGTTCCCTAACCGCCAAAGTGCAATCACAAACTTGATTTTAACGCGAATTTACGCACATACGCATGTGCATATTAACATAACTGTGTAAGTGGACACATGCAAATATTTCTGCATGCATTTCACAACAGTGATTTTGCATTTATGGAAACCAGGGGTGCTCAACAAACTATATGAATCGATTTCGTTTTGTTAATGCAAAAACCACTTCTTATTTGGCGCTGTAACCGCCTAAGCGATTTTGGCCGAGTTCAACAACGCACACGCCAGTCGTTTCTCTTCTGTTGACTGTTTTAATAAAATTAAGCTCCAAAATTTTGTATTAAGTAATAATAAAATAAATAATGTGAAATGAAATTAAACAAAGGATAATATAATAAAGGAAATTAAATTTATGAATAAAATAAAAAATAAAATAAGTAATAAAAACAAAATAAAAAACGTGTGTAACACCGTACACATGATGGAAGTGAAACTTCTTAAAAAAGGTGTGAGTACCAGGTACCTACTCACAAAATTGGATGTGTAAACATATGTTATATGATTGAGTTACATACATAGGTTTGGTTAGAAATCAAACAATAATTTCATTTCATCTTATTAATTTTCTGATATACATATAATTTATTTATTCATTTTCCGGTAACGCCACCTTATATGAATTCACGCGTCTAGCATCCATAGGACCGGGTTGTAATGGATGTAATTGTATGTTTAACAAATAAATGAAAATGTTTATAATGCAATCAATAGATCCTTACGAAATCGTCATTACCAAGACACTAAGTAACGTACGCACTTTTGTTTGCAAAATGCATTTATTTAAGTTGAAAGAAGACAAATTCCTTTGTTCGGCATTTATTCATACGCGCTTTCTATCTTCCAAGGCGAATTCATATATTTATGTGGTAGCAAGAGTATAAAAACATTAAATTACCTTATAAATTAAAAGCATAAGTATCACATGTATGCGTAGTCCAATTCACGAAATCATTTCATCGATCTGAGTAAAAACCAAGTGCATAAACTCTATTTCGCGTTAATTGAAATCATGAAATGGTGTTCGTTCATTCAGTTGCTACTCAAACGCATGAAATGATTTCATGAATTGGCCTACGCATAATGGTAGTAAATGACAGAATGAATTACAACAAACACATCCTTTTGACATAATGCAAGCCGAAAACATTGGTTCAAATAAATCCGCAGTCAAGTTGGACGTTTTGCCCACAAACATTGCAATTTTGCGAGCAGTCTCATTGTAAAATCTCATTTTTACAATTTCATAGTTTCGGCTTACATTTATAAAATTCAACGAAAGCACGTACCTATTTCGGCTGAGTTATCCATTTTCGGTTATTTAGTGTAGAAAATAAACGCAAATTAAATGAGTTTGTACAACATTATTTATTATTTATTTAACATGACCATTAATGTAGCGATAAGTTGTACAACTTGCCAGAAAATCCAAATTTTTTGATTTTTCATACAACCACAACATAAATTCATTCGACAGGCCCACAAACGGTGCAATCTAGAGCAAAACAACACCAAGTTGAACCAACGGTCGCTACGTTTATGGCTTTCTTTAAGAAACATCAGGCGAAAATTTCAACTGCTCCTGTAACACTGCCTTACTGGCCGTCTAAACAGGACAAAATTTATTGCTGCCCAGCTTCCATTTTGGTCGCAGATATAAGTTATATCAGTAGCAATATTTGTGTGGGCTTTTTATATCTTGATATAAGCATTTGTAAGATAGCTTTGAAAATGTATTTTTGCCGGATTTAATCCCTTAAAAAATTTAGAAAATAGGCTATTTTAAATCCAAGTACATAATTACAAATATTTTAACAGGAAACAGCTCAATTTTACAACGCTTTTATCAACTTGCAATGTTGTGGCTCCAGAAACTTTCAATGTTGTGGATCCAGAAACTTTCAATGTTGTGTGTCCGACACCATAAAACCTTTGCTTTGAAAAGTTCCTATAAAAAAGCATAGTGCATAGGGCGACATCTGTAGTGAATAGGGCGAGGTAGATGACATCTAGATGTCGCCCTATGTACTACGTTCGCTACAGCGGAAATAGACGACACGCCATTTCTTTAAATAAAATTAATTGGTGCTCGTTTGTATGTACATACATATGTAAATGCATGTGTGTGCACCTTTCTATTAATATCGTTGAATTATTAATATCTATCGCAAAATTTTATACAGACAAGACAAAAAAGTAGAAAATAAATAATATAAAAAAAAAACTTTTTAATATACAACGCTTTTATAAATGGACTAAAAAGTAGAACATAATATTTCTCAGTCCCATAGAATTTGTTTTGATAACTTTTGATTTTGAAATTTTAGCAAAAGTCGTTATAACCAATTTATGAGATTGAAAATGAAAAGCGTGGGGCGCATGCAATACAAAGCATTATATTTAATTGACAATAGGCAAACTACATAACATAGACCTAAAATTTCTTCAGCGAAAGTATCGCTTTCGAATCGAAAGATCGATTTTAAGCGGTCGTTATTCATATATCCACATACATATGAACATATATTACCCTTCATATCAATTCAGGTGGCTATTATATGCGCCCCACGCTTTTCATTTTCAATCTCATAAATTGGTTATAACGACTTTTGCTAAAATTTCAAAATCAAAAGTTATCAAAACAAATTCTATGGGACTGAGAAATATTATTTTCTACTTTTTAGTCCATTTATAAAAGCGTTGTATATTAAAAAGTTTTTTTTTTATATTATTTATTTGCCTTTATATTAAAATAATAATGATGTTGCATCCACGAAGTTTTGGTGCAAATGAAAATGTAGCTGTCAAACTACCAAATTGCCGGCAATAGATGGCAAGATATAAGCTCTGATATATATTGCTCTTGAAGAGCAATGAGCGGTCTCCATTGGCTATTTATATTCTAACATATGTATCTAGATATAAACTTTATCCTGTGGAGACGGGCAGTTATATAAGTTGGCCTTGCTATCATCTTCACATATGTTCATCAGAGTATACCAACGAAGGACCAGTTAATACAAGGAGATTGCGAGAGCACAAAACTACTCTAGAAAATTACACGCACAATGACAAACATGAACAAATGTACAACAAACACATAATTTTTGACAATCAGTACAGTTCGCATTTATATCAACGAGCAGCTTATTAGATTTGTTTTCGTTTGTACTACATATGTGCATATATACATGCACACAAAAATATGTACATACGTACAAAAATATTTACAACCATTCAAACATATGTACATTAGCCTGCATCACTCCCCACCTTAAAAAAAAATTAATCGGTACTATTTTTCCATTGGAATTATAAAATCTACTACATTTTAAGACGTCCACCAAAATATTTCGGAAAAATATTAAGATTTAAGTGAGCTGGACCGATTTGAAAATACCTCCAAAAATGGTTTTTTTTTATGAATAAAAATAGTTTTTAAAGAGTTTTTTTGAAAAAATCCCCTCAAATGGCAAAACGGTTTAAGCTTAAAATATTAAAAAAAAATTAAAAAAAATTTTAACGGAATCGTAATGATGATGCTGTTTTTAACATTTTTCAAAGATTGGTATAAGAAAAACTTGAATAACTGAACCTAAACTCTTCCGATTTAGACTTAAGAGGTGTCATTGGAAAGGTATTTTCTCACCCTTTTCATTTATTTGCTAATAAACTTATTCAAAGGATGGAAGAGAAAGGTAGGAGAAACGAACCTCACTCAAAGTTGAATTAAGATGTTTTGGTATTCGAAAATAAAGATGGGACACGAATGACGTTTCTTTTNACCTAAACTCTTCCGATTTTGACCTAAGAGGTGTCATTGGAAAGGTATTTTTTTCACCCTTTTCATTTATTTGCTAATAAACTTATTCAAAGGATGGAAGAGAAAGGTAGGAGAAACGAACCTCACTCAAAGTTGAATTAAGATGTTTTGGTATTCGAAAATAAAGATGGGACACGAATGACGTTTCTTTTGGCCAGTTATTCAAGTTTTTCGTAAATCAATCTTTGAAAAAAGTAAAAAAACAGCATCAAAAATCTCATTCTTACGATTCCGTTGAAAAGATTTTTAAATATTTTTATGCAGATTTTTTAAGCTTATTCTAATTTGTCATCTGAGGGGACTTTTTTCAAAAAGTTCTTTAAGAAACTATTTTTATTCATAAAAAACTTCATTTGTGGAGGTAATTTTAAATCGGTCCAGTTCGCTTAAATCTTAATATTTTTCCGCAATATTTTAGTGGACGTCTTAAAATATAATACATTTTGTAATCCCGACGGAAAAACCGCAACTTTTTTTGGTGATGCAGTCTAATGTACATACATGAAAACATTGCTGTCCAAAAGTACATACATATGCCCATCAGTACATCAACGAAGCCCGTTTGCTTCATCATAAATATATCCAGACAAACATATGTACGAATGCATGTAGTTACGCGAAGCACGCTTGCATCATTTATACATATGTTGTTTGGTAGCGGCAGAGCTGAAATGTGCAATGAGTTCGTTCATACATACATATATATGTATACATACATACGTGCATTCTAACATACATATATACATATGTAGGTACTCGTACCCGTCATGCGTCGCTTTATTTCTTTTTTCCCCTTCCCTATACTACCTATATCTTCCTTCTCACTCATGTAACGTTTTCAGTTTCAAAAATTTCACTCTCCATTTTTGCGATACCGCCGCCTAAGAAGTTTCACTTCAAAAAATGTATGAACCGCTCCAACCCAGGATCAAACCTGGGACATACAGAGTTTTAGTACGCAGATCTCGCTCGCCTGCTTTGTTTGCTTCCTTGTCGTTTTTACCAGTGTTGGCATCGAATATTCCCTTGATCGGAATCAATTTTGGGAATTAACTCTAGGACTTAATCCGGATCGACTGAAGTTAATTCCCCAGATAATTCCGAATTAACGAGTTGATCCGGATCAAC